ATAATATTATTTATCTCAATAAAATTAGTAATATTTATATATTTGTTTAAATTTTATTTAAAGCGGGGCTTGCAGTATGTTCTATCTACCGATCGAAATATATAATGGAATGGGAATTTTTAACATAATATATTATATTTTGAATGTATATTATATTATTTTTTATTTCATTATATTTATAATAAATTATATTTATTAATTTATTTGTTTAAATATAAATTATAATAAATTATCATCATATTTTGCGATTTTTAAAATGTTTATATTAACCACGAAAAAAAATTTCTTATAAAAAATATATATTAAAATTTCGAATATCTTGCCTAATATAGAATTTTTTATTTTTGACAATTGTCACCTAGATACTAGATACTTGGCGGTTCCTTTGGCAAAATGTATATGTTTTATTTTGACTAATGACCAGTATATCATTAAAAATAAATTACTTAATTAATTTTTTCCAAAGGCAACATCCTAAGCCAGCTATCGGTAGTCTCATGGAGGACATTTTTTTAATCTTTACTTAAATGATTTTAAACAAAAAATTTTAACATATACCTTTTAAACAATAATAATTTTTAAGAATAGTATATAAAATATAAAAAATTTTAAAAAATAACTAGTTTTTGTAAGACATGACTCTAAAATCTAAAATAATGTGTTAAATACTATTTTTGAGGCTATTATGTTTAGAATTACGAAAATTAATAATGATACAATACTCATATTTTAAGAAATGCAGTTAAAATCATTGATATCTTCTAGTTATATTAGCATCAATAGTTTTTTTTAAAAGTAAATAAAAAAAATTCCTACAATATAGTAGGCTGATCTATTTTATATTTAGTTAAGTAAAATGATAGAGTTTATCGTACGTATGTCGTAATCATAATCAGTTTTGTCAGTCAATAATTTGCTTTGGTAATCCTGACTGAGACTCGTCAGGACTAGACTACCTAATTATTTTGGATAAAAATTTTCCTGCTCCTTCTAAGCCTTATATTAGCTTAGTCGAGACTCGAGAGGGAACGCTAAATCATATATATTATATACTTTCCTAGTAGATTCAAAATAAAATTCAAAATAAATGGGGTTTTGTCCCGCTTCTGGACTAAACATTATTTATTTCAGAGATTTTATTACACAATATGATTGATTATATTTTTTTTGCTATATAAGTTTTTGAGATATAAGCATTTTAAAAATCTTAAAGATTCCAATGTGGCACTTTTTTGTACATTTGAGCCCCTATATATGGAAAAGCAGGTGTGCTAGCTAGCTAAAATAAAACGACTTTCTCATTATTTTACCTATCCCAGAAATTTTTAACAATTTAAAAGAAGCCGATTCGGCTTAGCCGCGACTTGAGTCGAATTTTTAGTCGTAAAAAACGACTCAGCCTCGAGCGGCTTAATGAGCCGTTTGAGTCGACTCTTGAGATACAATTTTTTCATAGTTAAATATACAGAGTTAGCTGTTGTTTTTGAACATAATCTCTTATTTTACAAATTCTCTTAAAACTAGCATTTATTTAAAAAAAAAAATTTTAAGATTAAAATACAGATACCTCTAAAATTATATCTAGATACAATATCTTTTTTGAGAAATTTTTTTTATAAAATTATTATGGGTTGGGCTGGGCTTGGAAAATATTTTTATAAAATTATATTGGGATGGGCTTGGGGAAAATTTTTCAAAATTATTATAAGCTTGGACGCTTGAGAATTTTTTTATTATTAATTATAGGTCAGACATTGGCCCAAAATAAATTTTTTGCATGCCTGGGCTTGACCTGATCAAAAAACCAAGGCCCATGAAAATCTGAATTTTGATTGTATTTTTAAATTCATTATGATTATTTAAATATTTTATTTCAGTTCTCAACTACCAAAATTATTATGATCTTTCATTGGGCTTGGAAGAATTTTCATAATTAATATGGCTTTGGACTCTGCCTGGAAATTTTTTTAATATTAAATATTAGGTATAAGTAATCAGTAATATTTAACAAATAATATTGGTATTATCAAGTAAATGCTTTAAATTTATTTTTACTCAAACCATAGCACTTAGTTTTAATGGATTATACCTGGCCTGAAGGGATGAGGGGGTAAGAAGAATAAATGGATATTATTTTCAAATAACAGGTAACATGCATAAAAGTAAGAAGAAAATTTTCATTCCCCGTCATTTTTGACGGGCTATTTACTAGTAATACTATAATTATATTTATAAGTTTATTTATTTAAATATAAATTATAATAAAAATATCATCATATTTTGCTATTTTTAAGATGTTTATGTTAACTACGAAAAAAATTTCTTATAAAAAATATATATCAAAATTTCGAATATCTTGCCTACCATAGAATTTTTCAATTGTCACCTAGATACTTGGCGGTTTCTTTGGCAAAATGTATATATTTTATTTAGACTAATGGCCAGTATATCATTAAAAATAAATAAATAAACCGATACCCATATTTTGGATCGGATCGAATAAAACGACCACAACTTTGGGTTGAAGTCGTAAAAAACCACCCGTTTGAGTCTGAGTAGAAAAAACGGAAAACATTAATTCGTCTTCTAGTCGACTTAAAACTCGTATAACGACTTAAGTTGGAAGTCTAAAGATAAAGAAAAAAACAGAACAAATGTTTTATTAATTAATAAAAACTAATCAAGTTTATAGAACTATTCGTCCTCTAGTCGACTAAGTTCGTAGAACTGACTCAAGTTTATAAACTTGAGTTGGTAGTTGGTCGATTTAAATCGCGGAATTTAAACAGAAATGCTCAAAAAAATCATCAAACGTTGAGAATAAATATCAAACGTTCAGAAAATACTGAATATAATTTTTAGAAATACACATATTGTTGCAATTCCATAATGCGATATGCAAGGGCCCCTACAACGGGGAGGGGGGGGGGTCCGAAGCAACTGCTTCAGTAAATGAGTGGGGGTACTTATTTTTAAATTTTTTTAAATTTAAAAAAAGAATTTTTTTTACATTCATCATGATCATGTGATTCCTGGTTTATAAATGTAATAATAAGACCCCCCCCCCCCCACTTAATATTTAATTTAATATATTGACGGAAATTTTGGTCTATATTTAGTAAATTTTTTATCCGAGATTTCTTGTCATAAATTATTTTTCCAATTTTATATGCCTAAAAATATTAACCAAGAAAATACAAATGCCTAATAAAAAATTGCAAATCGCATAATATAAGAGATGATAAATGGATAGATCACATTAGAAAAAGACATGGCGGGCTTAATATTAACGATATAAAGAAAAGTTTTGAAAAAGTAGCTTTTAAGAATGTTACTCAAAATTGGACAAATAGCTTTATGAAGGAGAGAAATCTACCTTTTGATTTTGAAAGTTCTAGACTTCAAACATTACAATCCAAAAAGGAGAGGTATATATACTTTCATCATTAAATATAGGAATTTTTTTTAGCTTTAAAATAGGTGTTTTACGCTGCACTCGATTTAATTATTATGCATTAACGAAAGATTTAATGATGATTCCATGAAATTTTTACATCAAACATCATTTTTTACGCCAAAGGGAATGGCAGAAAAATCAATTATTAAAGAAGATATCGAGGATATTTGTGAATTTTACAATTTAAATTCAAGTCAAATTTTCGAAGAAATGTTAAAGTTTAGAAATATTTATAAGATGGCCAAAATGGGGAATGTAATTATTACTCATGACCTAGAGGTTCAAGAATCTAAAGATTTGTCAGATTCTGAGAATTGTAAATTTATTTAATTAAAATATTTTTACCAATACATTATTTAGCTTCTTCTGATGATGATGATAATTCAGGGACTTACGATTCAGATTGGAAAAACTATTCATTTATTTTACCTTTTCGTTTACTTTAAAATTTTTCTGCTTTCCCAAATTTAAATATTTTATATAAATATTTATTAACCATTCCCACAACCTCATGTACTGCCGAAAGAGTCATGAGTAAAATTAAATTAATTAAAACAAGACTTCGCAGTACCATGAAAGATTCTTTTCTCAATAATTTAACCATATTATCAGGAAAAAAATTTATTTAAATAATTAAATACTGATGAAATTATAAATTCTTTCGCTTTCTCTTCCCCTAATTTACCTAAATTATTAATTTAAAAATAATATTTATAAAGTATATATTTTTTGCATTTTATTTATATTATATATTAAAAATTGATGCAATAAAAATTATTTTTGAAATTTATGGGTGTAATAATTATCATTTCTATGAGGGGGGGGGGATACTTTTCATGGGGGTATTCTGCTTCATTCGCTCAAAAAGTGTAGGGGCCACTGGCGATATGGAAAAAACAAAAAGAGTTTAGGAAATTTATTAATATAATTTCGATTAAATGAATGAAATTGCGTTATTTAATACTACATTTTGATTTAATGAAATAAAACTGCTTTTCATTTGTATAATTGACCCCCCCCCCCCTAAAGTTAACTTCCATCTAGAGGTCTGCATTGGGCGGGTTTTTTGGATAATATGCCCGCCCACTCAATGTTTAAAAAATTTTTTAACCCACCCGCCCAGCTCGCCCATAGTTTTCAAAAAAATATACCCGCCCGCCCATTAATCTAAAAAATTTTACCCGCCCGACCGCCCATTAGTCTAAAATTTCTTGCCCGCCCGCACATTAGTCAGAAATTTTTTACCCGCCCGCCCATTATTTATAAAAAATTTTTTACCCAAGCCCGCTATTTTAATCATCTAATGAAAATAGTTTCAACATTACGTCTCTATAAGTTTTATAATTTAGGAAATTACTATATTAAGCTTAAAAAATATTCAATTTAAATTATGGATAATTTATTTTATCAAATAAAATATTTATAAAATATAAATAAATATTATAAGTAATTATAATGCAAAAATAATAATAAATCCACATTTTCGGGATTCAAACACGTTCTTCAAAACCTTCCGGCAATGCTAAATCCTCTTTCAGAAGTAGCACTAGTTGCAGGAATTCCTAATATTTTTCTTGCTAATCTTGATAGCTTTTGCAAATCTTTTTCTTGTCGTTTCCACCAAAGTAGGACATCCTTTTGAAGTATATCCTCTTCTTTAATTGAAATCTTTAAATAAAAGTGAACCAATAATAATAAATTTAGTAATTTAAATTTATATTAATTGTAATATATGCATCTTAAAATTATGCTAAATTATACTTATCAAAAATGGTTACTTTAAGATTTAAATATTTTGTTATGTCATTATGTACGGTACTATCCTCAGTAACAACCTCATCCTCCCATCTGTTGGAGTTTAATTTTGATGTAGATGCTATTTATTTCAAATATTACATTTAATAAGTAGCTAAACGAATTTATAATTTATTAATACCTTTTAATTGGATTCTCTTTGCTTTTGGAAATATATGGAATAGATGATATTTCTCCTACCCCCCTGTTCGTGTAGACCTTTAGAGAGACAAAGTTATAAAGCTATGCAAGGATATATATGAGCTCGAAAGAGAATGAATGCTTGATGGGTTAAATAGAAGGAGACAAGGGAAATTTGTTGATTAACGGAGTGCCTCGCCAAGGTAAGAGTACATATCAAATGACCGTGAAACCAGGAGGTTTTATATAAATCTGTGTATTAGATAAGTAAGAATATGGAATATAAGGCGACAGATGTTATGGGAATGCATAGTAGATATTGCGAAATATAAAGTAGTGTATAATATTTTTTCCCTAGGAATTTTGAATAAAATAAAATATTATCTATGTGTTTTTTTTATTTAAATATTTGCCCCTGCCCCACCCCTCATCTTAAGATTATTAAATAATTCACAGTAAATTAAAATGCACTCCTAAGATTCCGGGGGCGTTAACTTCGCCTTACCCGTCTTTCCGTGATAGGAGACTTTGTTTCACATTTAAAATTAATAATAAAAAAGTTTATATAAGAACTGGCACTGATTTTTAAAAGATGTTTAAATTTATTTATATACAATTATTTCAAATTTTCGAATTATACATTAGCATTAACTCCAAATTAATCGTATCTTATTTTATATCCTTTTTTATTGCTAATTAGTTTTGACTTCAGTTTCCTTAAAGCCCAGGGAATTTTGTCGCAGGAGGGGTGGGGTATGACGAACATTGGAATTGGAGAATGTTAGGGGGTGAAGACTAGGAGAAGGGTAATGATTTGGATTTCCTTTTTTTTGATAATTCTAATCTGATAAGGGGCTAGGTGAGGGTAGGAAGTAAGATGGGGTGGGATAGGGATGTCTCTCTGGCAGTCACATAAAAGTTATATAATAAAATTCGAATTTAATAATAAAGAATGTTTAAATTTTTTCACATTCTGTTTTATTTTTAATGAATATAAATTATATTTAATTATTAGGAAAACCATTTTATTTTTCCTCAAAATTTAAAATATTCTATTTTTAAATTGTTAAATATTTTGGGATTTTTCTCTAATATTAGAGTTTAACCTCATTTATAATAATTATTCAACTTAAGGAAATGGCCGTTAGAGCAGTTGATTTATTTAAATTTCAATTGGTCTATTTATAATCACATGCCGTTAAATTTGATATGCTTTTAATAAAAATGTTAATTTTTCTTCAAGCCTTTAATTAACCCTAATCCATATCTATCTAACTTTAATCCTACTCTTTACTTCAAATATTTGTTTAATTTTAAATATATTTCAACTAATTAAAAAATTTTCTTTTATATATTCCTTGAGTTGAGAATTATAATTTTTAGTAACTTCGAAAATAACGACATCCGATTAAGCTTAAATATCAACAAATAATGATAAATAATACATCTATGCTATTATCACATCGCTTAACCATGGAAAAATTTAATAAGGTAATTTTAAATTAATTTTAAATTGTATATATTTATCATTTGTTGAATTTTTATAAATATATCATTTTTATTTTATGTTTGCAAGAAAGATATATAATACTCTTGTTTTTTAATTCGTTGTCATTGGCATATGCCGAAACGAGTTATTATTTTTAATATTTTACAATATGAAGTGGAAACTGGAAACAAACAATAAAAATCACTTTGATCTTTTTATATTTATTCGAATTTTTTTATACTATTTTGAATTTTTTTTATTATTTGTGGTTTTTAATATTATTCGAGGATCTACGCGATTTAATTACTCGAAGAATTTTACTTGATTATTTAATGAATTATTTTTACTAGTTATTTTATAACATCATGGATTGTCTTATGATAGAATCAATGACTAAACGTTAAGTTTACTTCTAGGGAAGCAAATTTTTTTTTAATTTTAAAAACTATATAAAATATTAAGTTTTAAAATGAGCAGAATTCAATTTTACTTTTTGAGTAAAATACTTATTTAATTCATAAAACTTGGTGTTAGATTTTAAAAAAATTGCATTTGAAATTCTTATGTTTACAGCTTATTTAAGTAATTTTAATTAGCATCCTTTTTTTTGTTATCGAAATTAATTAAGCAATTTTAATTTTTCCCCTTCCTTTTTTTCAAAATTAACTAGCCTTACAAAATTCCAAAATGATAAACAAGTATTCATTTTCACTTTTTGTAGAACAAAGGCTGTTATTTGTTGGATTATGCAAAGTATATTTATGGAACAAAGATAATTTAAATGATGGATTTTATTTTATGTATTTTTTCTTCCAAAAATTATAATTTTACTATATAAATAGCAATTGTTTTTTACACAATATTAATCGGATGATATTTTGAAAATAAAATTAATAAAAAAGGAAAGAGTTAATAAAGAAAAGGTACTCAAGGATTTAACAAACCTTGGATTCTTAATTGCTCTCCCAATACTGATTAAACACCCTGAGGTAAGTTCGGATTTATAACAATTTGGACCGAAGTAAATCAGGGCCTGTTAGATATTCACGTAGGAATTCAAAGGTAAAAACAAATCTATTTTATGTTATGTAAATTATTATTACTTTTATTTATTATAGTAGTAATTTTATATTTATACAATTTTTTTAAATTATTTAAAATTATTTTAATCAAGTGGTTATTGAGTACACTTTAATGTATATTACGCAAATAAATTTATTAAGTTTAATACTTGAAAATATAAGTATAATTATATTTTTGGTGCTAATTTTAAGTTTCACGTTAGGTTTAATTATAGGAAGAAATACGACTTACGTTAAGATAGAGATTAAAGAGTTAGAAAATATTAAGAATATATTAAGAGAGGAAGATAAGAAAAGAAATATAAACAACTTCATACGAACGGATAATTACAGACAGATAATTTGCTATAGTTGTGGTCAGCCGGGCCACATGTCGCGCCAGTGTGAGATAACGAAGAATCTAAGATGCGCGAGGTGTGGCAAGAATGGCCATGTGGCTATAAGTTGCAGAGTAAACAATTCAATTGTAAGGTGCAATAATTGTGCCCAAGAAGGACACACACAAGAAAATTGCAATAAATGACTAAGAGAGAAATATTTTAATTTTAATGATAAATTTTGTAATGATAATAATTTAGGTTGATAATTTTAATTCAGTTAAGAATAAATATTTTAATTTTAATGATAAATTTTGTAATGATAATAATTTTTCTAAGGTTGATAATTTTAATTCAGTTAAGAATAAATATTTTAATTTTAATGATAAATTTTGTAATGATAATAATTTTTCTAAGGTTGATAATTTTAATTCAGTTAAGAATAAATATTTTAATTATAATGATAGATTTGGTAATGATAATAATTTTTTTAACGTTGATAATTTAGTAGAAAATAAGAATAAAGATTTTAATTTTAATAATGATAATTTGGATAATGTTGATAATGCTAGTGCAAGTAAGAATAATTATGGTAATAAGAACGAGAAATTTTGCAATGATAAAAAGTGCTTTAACGTTGATAATTATAATTCAAGCGATATTAATAGAAGTGATATAAAGATAAAAAGTAGAGATTTTGAAATATATAGAATTAAAAAGGCAACTAGGGTAGACGTACTAAAAATGGAATTAGAGAATTTTTTAATGAAAAATAGATGCCCTAAAGTAAAGATAAACATGGAGGAAGCAGAAATTTGTTTTTTATTAGATACAGGAGCAGAAATTAGTTTAATAAGTATAAAGGATTTTATGAGATTTTGGCCAGAGAAAGAGTTTGTTACTAAAAAGATAAGAGCCAAACAATTGGATGGTAGCATGGTGAAAATTTTAGGGTATTATAGGGTAAGGTTACCAAGAGTTAATAAAAGTATAAATTTGTGGATAACGACGTTGAAGATTGAACCGATTTTAGGATGGTATGATATAAGAACGTTAGGTCCAGTTTATAATTGGTGGAAATTTTTCGATACTATCCCTGTAAGTAATGATGAAAATAGTGAAATGATAGATTTCGATAGATTTAAGTTACCTATTATAGAGGATAAACAAGAATTAGTTCTCGATAAACTTAGAAATCGAACACCAGAATTTTTGATTAAATATAGAAGCAACTTAGAAGAAAATAAGAAAACAAGAGATACAAAGACAATAGAGGTAAATTCAGTCGAAATTAAACAAGAAATTAATAATATGGTAGACCAGAATGTTGTTGAAGATATTGTTGACAAAGAAATAAAGATTATTTTGAATAGGTATAATGAAGTCTTTAAAGAAGAATTAGGTACTCTGAAAAATTTTGAAGTAGATATACGATTAGAAGAAAATTATAGGCCTAAGTTTTGCGGCATAAGAAGATTACCGTTTTCCTGGATAGAAGAGATAGATAAAGAATTAGATAAATGGTTAAAAGACGGAATAATAAAACCAATAGTGCATAGTGAATGGGCAACACCTTTAGTGCCCATAAGAAAACCAGATAACAGTTTAAGATTGTGTATAGACTATAGAGTAACAGTTAATAAGTGCGTAATAAATGAAAAGTATCCACTACCTAGAATAGAACAATTGCTAGCGAATTTAAGAGGAGACACCCTGTTTTCAAAGATTGATTTTTCGAATGCTTATTTGCAAATTAAGGTGAGTGAAAAGACAAGTAAGATACTAACGATTACAACTCATAGAGGTTTGTTTGCATTCTGCCGATTACCTTTTGGTTTGAAAATATCAGCGCCAATATTTCAAAGAACGATGACGGCGTTATTTCAAGGAATAAAAATGTATTATTTAGATGATGTTTTGATATCTGGTAGAACAGAAGAAGAACACAATTCGAGATTAGTTAAAGTGTTAGATATTATATTAGAAAATGGTTTAAAAGCTAATTTGAAGAAGAGCGTATTTGGAGTAAAAGAAATAAAGTATTTAGGACATGTTATAAAGGGAAATGAGATTACGCCAATTGTAAAGAATATAGATAAGATCATGAATATGAGAGCCCCGAATAATAAAGCGGAGGTACAAGCGTTTTTAGGAGCAACAAATTATTATCATCGGTTTGTTCAAA